TCCTTGCTTTTGCATATATCCCGTCAGTATAATTTTAAAAGTCATGATGAAATCTCACTGGAATTGTCGCAGCGAAAATTTGATAAAAACTTGTGCTTATTTTCAGTGTTGTTTTTGACATAAAATTGACTGTTTAGTAAAAGTATCTGTCAGTGAGTGGGGGTGCACCGGAACTTGGTTTCGGCCGGTTAGTTCCGGCCGGAACCCCAATTTTTTAGAGTTCTGGTTCCGGCCGGAACTAGTAAAAAAAGCATGGCCGGAACCAGAACTCTGTCTGTTTCAGAGAGATAGAATATCAAACGTTTTGTGTCTAACAAAAGTTCACAGTTGGAAGAAATTTGGACTACGCAAGGGAAATATACACTATAACACTTCATTATGACGTTTAACGTTTGTCAATCTTTTTATTCTAACATTTGCGAGCTCTCTCCTTGATGACTTGAAGTGTCTGCCTGTCTGGCAGCGGACAAAGTAATATATGACTATATATGGCTTAATATATTAGTTGCGGTTCCGGCCGGAACTTTTTTCCAGTTCCAGTCGGATCCGGTTCCGGCCGGAACTTAAAAAACTGGTTCCGGTGCACCCCTATCAGTGAGCATACTTTTATGTTTTTTATTTTTTTGTTTTATAAATATTATGTATCGGTACGATACGATACTACAGTATAGTCATAGCAATAGGACATAGGTCACCCGGAAAGGTACAGTTGCATCATTATGTACTCATATACACCTTTTCGAAAAACCTAAGGTCATACATACGATAGACGGATTTTCATATTTTTTACTGGGGTGGTGCCAGAAATTTTAGGGGGTTGAGCCGGGAGCAGGTGACCGAATCAACACAAAGTGTCACCAAACCCCAGTAAGGTCTATAGGGGTCCAGCACTAGGGCCACAAGGGGGAGTCTATATAGAGAGCAGAAAACAAAGTATCCCAGGAAAAATTTGAAAAAATCATGATTTCTAGCTTCGAAAAAACGTTTTAATTTTGAAGTTGTCAATTTGTCATATCAATGGATTTGGCATGTCTGATTGTCTGTTGAGACTTGAGGGAGTTAAAAGACTGAAAGTTAAATGAACCTGTAAAAGTGTAAACCCAATAGGCCAATACACAACATGCTTTTACTTTTATAAAGTCATTGACATTGTGTTGTTTGAATACGAGTACAATTTATGATGCAACTCCGATGTAAATAATATTTGGAGCGTAAAGATTAAATCTAGGCAAGTCTATTTCCTAAAAGAATTAAAAACTAAAAATAATGTTCGTAAAAATTCCAAACATTCCTTGTGTGCAAGCTACTGTATTCGCATGACAAGGCACTGTAAACTCTATTCAGGGGAGATAATAGAGTTTCAAAACTTTACAATCGCTCCTATAAAGTGAAGTCCTACGTTTGTTTTGTATCATCAACACTCTACACGTTGGAGTGGACTATTTAATTATTTATTTATTATGCCAAATATTGGGGGGGGGGGGGGGG